GGCCGGATACCAGCGAAAGGTCCCATCTTTGCAGACTTGCAACAACTGCATTTTGACTCGATTGCGTTCGACTCGTTTGCCTTCCCAGATTTCTCGACCACTTGCATCTTCCCAAAGCCAAGGGAATCGCTCTTCCTTTCTTAGCTTACGTGCCTTTTCATCCATCATGAAGACCTTTAGGAGTATCAGAAAACTGCCTGTAGATGATACGATTAATCGACTAACCTGTCTAGTCTTCTTTCCCCCTCTTCTTCTGCCGCCAGCGGGTTTATCGTCAGGTCCTTTTCCGGCACCACCTCCTTCAGCGTTTCCCCCTTTTCCTTTACCCCAGCCAGCCTTTTTGCCTTTAGGGTCACTACCTGGTGTCACTCCAGGGATGAACGGTAATCTTCCTCCTTTGACTTGTCCTGCCATAGCAGCAGGTATCATGACAGGCTGGCCGTCCGATCCGATGACTGGTTGGCCATCGGGCCCCTTGAGGGGTACCATTTTCTCTGCTTTCTCTGCTTTCTTTCCGCCACTAGTGCTAGGTCCCGAATTGGGGTTTTCCGTCTTGACTGCAACATTCGAGGTAGATGGGTTACCGATTTCTGCAGCTGAAGATGGTACGATCACATTCTTGAGCTCTTGCAAGTTCAGTCCTTCCATTAACCCTCCTGCGCCATCAGGTAAGGATCCAAGATCCTCTTCATCCAAATCCATTCCCGTCTCAAGAAATTTATAGTTTTTACGATTGAGTTTAATTGGGAATTCGAATGCGGTGTTGATAGTCTTGTTTCCAGGAATGCGGTGAAATTTGAATATATTCCAGTCGAGCTATATAACGTCAATCCATGGTTATATTGACGTATTTTCAAACAAGAATGAAAGAGTTGTTAACGTATGTGAGCTATCACATCATACTGGCGCTGAAAAGGCCACATACCTGGCCATTAAACCCACTTAAACCAAATGGACCATTTACGTCACCAGTAAGCAGGTCGAATTCGACGAATGGTGCGTCTAGGGGTGGAGGGGCTTGACTTACACCTCTGGGTTGACTCGGTGGTGCACTGGGCCCAGGTGTGCCGCTGCGGGTAGGAGGAAAAGGAGATTTGGCATTAGGAGCTGATGTTGTAGCATTAGAGCTGGCTTGCGAGGCCGGTAAAGACTGGGAGCCATTGACTTTGGGAGTGGATGGATTGGAGACGCCGCCAGGGAGAGGCCTTCTAGCCGGTTTCCTCGGAATAAATAAATTAGACGATGCCTTCTTTCCCGGTCTTCCATTGGTATTAGGCCCGCTAGGTTGAGAAGTCCTTGTTGATGTGACGGCTGCTGACATTGTAAAGGCTTGACTGTGTAGATTATTGGGTGGGGTATGGCCCGATGAGATACTACTTAGAGAAGAATTTAACTTGAGGGGAGAGAGTGACGGTGGGTGTAGTTGATCTGAAGGCTGGATTGGAGGTGTGGACATAGTCGGATCCAACCATCATCTGGAGTTGACCCTTCTCAGTAACCACAATATAGAGGCAAATACCACTACGCTTAAGCAGAATAGAATGATATAATTTGTACGAGGACAATTCTTTAAAAAGTAATGAAGTAGCATGCGATGTTTAATTTGGCGACTCATCGGTCAGCTATGGCAATGTATCAAAAACTTGGTGCTCGCCACAACAACTATGTCGAGGTCTTCACCCGTTCTCGGAACTGCAGCTCTTCAAAATCCTGCAACGACCCGTTTAAATATTACCGCATCTACGTGCTCCCAACTATCAATCTTCAAAGGTACGTACGCTCGGCATCGTTCATTCGATCAATGGCTGAGCTTCTGCAACCTCAAAATCATGTATATGCATGATTTTCGAACATTACAGATGTTATGCGGGAATACCGTAAACTGGACGACTCTATCGTCATTCGTATGAATAGAAACAACGCGCTGTTTCAAGATTCTGCTCGCAACAGACTGTTCTCACGTTCTAAGTCTTCAAGTTCATCAAATTCAGGTTTAAGCTATGGAAATAATGAGACAGAGGCCTGTTTGTATTTTTGGAAACAACTAGTTGGTAGGTAGACACCTCATTGGTCCATTATGAGCCAAATTGACGGATATTCTTCAGCAAATTGGAAATCTCGTGCAGAAATTATTGACTATTGTGCACAAGTTGTCGACTCCCAGCTTCACGAAAAGGAGAATGCCCTGAATGAGATCTTGAACTCCAAAATGTCGACCGATACAGGGCTTCTCAGTCCCCCGAAAGTCGATGGGGAGATATGGCGTGGACCTACAAATGACTTTTATCGCCCAGTGGAGAGGTCCATATCGACAAGTCGGCCACCCAATTCTGCAGATGGCTCTCAACCTTCAAACCAAGCCAGGACTCAACAAAGTGCACAAGATCTCCAAGAAGAAGCAAGGAGACAACGAGACCGAGAAAAGGATGCTAGATATGCGCTATGGGAAGAAAGAGTCAAGGTGAGCAGTCAAGTGCTTTCGTACACGTCCACCATTCCAGGGCAATGAAGAAACACTCATATTTGATATAGCGAGATCAGATGGCGAACGAGTCGAACGCAATCGAGTCAAAATGCAGTTGTTGCAAGTCTGCAAAGATGGGACCTTTCGCTGGTATCCGGCC